CGCCACCACCCCCTCCCCCCTCCGGGATTCCCTTCTCGTTTCGCAGGAAAGTAAACGACTTGTTGAATGGGATGTTATCGCTCGTTCCCATTTGCTTCGCTCGCACGGCCGAGTCGGCCCGACCCGACCGACCCGACTCGGGTCGGGGAGTCGAGTCAAGTCGAGTCCCTCCCGTCCCATCCACAGGTCTGGGCGGTCAGGACTCCAAGGGGCTGTGGAGTGCTGGGTCGAAGCGATTGATTCTCTTTCAGAAATGTAGTTGATCTAGTCCATGGTGGTCAACAACCTTATTCACTTGATTCAAGATGTAGGGCTATTTTTGAACAAACCCGCGGATCTGAAACGAAACACTTTTCGGACGTTCCCGCACTCTCGGACGCTTCCCCTTCTTCTGACATACCTCCGGCTTGGGGATCAGGTCAGGGCAGACGACGTGCAGCTGGTTGTTGTTGCACACCTCCCGGGTGGCGTTGCCCGACACGACGTAGGCGTCGTAGCCGGCGCCAATGAGCAGAGAGACGAGCAGGGTGGCCAGCTCGAAGCAGTGCGCCGACTGGCGCTCGAGCACCGTCCACGGCGACACCAGCGTAGCGGGCTGCGGCAAAGAGAACAGGAGCGGGCGTTAAACTGCTGGAGATACGATAAGAACGACGTCCCTGTAGCACAAGAAGGAAGTGTGTGACCATTACTTATTAAGCGGGCAATGCACTACTGCTTGTTGTCCCGATCGGCCCACGGACGGTCGATCGTTTTAGGAATATGACGCAGAGAGAGCGACGCCGGCCGCCCCGCGCTGTTCCTTTCGGTTGGGGAGAACTTTCGGTCGGGTCCGCCGTTAAACCCACCACCCCCGCCCGCCGCCAACCCACCACCCCTTCGGGCTGACTGGGGGGTTGCTTCTCCCCCCCACTCCAGTCGACTCGACTCCAGCAGCTGGATATGAGTGCAGCAGTCGTTTCAATAGAGGACCTGTTGCTCGGCTCGGAAAGTCGAGAGGAGAGGGAGAGGAGTGGAAGTGAGAGCGAGAGAGACAGACAGACAGAGATTCTGCGCAGCGATTAGACTGCAGTGACTGAGTCGTCGCTATAGCAAGGAGGACACGGCCGGTTCGCAGCATACTGGAGGAGGAGGGGATAGCGAGGCGGATAGGAAATGAGAGGTGAGGAGGGCAGCGTAGGGTAGGGGGAGAGAGGGGGGCGAGATGGAACCTGGCGGGATGTACGGAGAGGAGGAG